GTCTAGTCGGCACGCCGAAGACGCCCATCTTGTTGCGGCTTGAGTTTAGGGTGCAGCGATCGGGACAATCATGATGGCAAAAGCAAATTGAGAAACTGCCAAAACCTAATGGAAACACAAATACCCATATACTAACTTGTCGCAGCCATAACGCCAGTAGTATGGAGCGATTCTCAGTATGGCTCGAAGGACGAAAACAACTGCCAGCTTTATTGCTGCGGTTATTACGATTGTGGCTACTACTACTACTAATAATAATAATAATTACCACCACCACCACGACCACGACGACTGCCATCACGCCCGGCATCACCATCACTGCCACTGCCTCCACATCGACTATGGCCACCTCTACCGCTGGCCACTTCGGCTATTAACACTAATAATCATGCTAATAGTCTCATAGTAATAGTAATAGTAAGACTCATACTAGCAGTAGTAGTAGTAGTAGTAGTAGTAGTAAGAATAATTATTATCATAATCATGGTATTCCCACTTTGCCAAGCGCTCCATACCAGAGCGTGGCTTTGAAGGGCTGGTGTTGTGGTGCCCCCATGACGGCCGCAAGAGATGGAGCGGACCTTACGGCATCCGACCATCGTGGTCGAGGCCGGCTATCAGAGTCGAAGAGAGCCACGTGGGTAGTTCTCTAACTTAGGGCCCCTTTTTAGGGTCCTTTTTATAAGGGTGCCGTACTATATTGGGGACCTAAAAAGGGACCCTAATTTAGAGAACTACCCATGTGCATCGTGGATGTTTGTTTGATTGCTTCTCGTCAGCGTGAGCCTCTCAGATAATCCGTCCAAAACCAGGACATTATCGGAAGTCAGCCCACCTAAAGCCCTAAAAACTTAATAATTAGAACGGGCTGCTTTGTAGTAAGTTCTACTAAGGAACCCGAATGCCTATATTCATTATTATCCTAACCCCAAGAAGCCCTAAATGCTCTATAGGCGCCTAAGTCTATGCCCTAAATCGGCCCTAAACCCTAAAACCCTAAATCCTAAACCCTAAACCCTTAACCCTAAACCCTAAACCCCTAAACCCCCAAACCCTTAAACCCTAAACCCAAAAACCCCTAAAGCCCCCTGTTCTGCTGAGACGGACCTGGAAGAGTCCTTCGGCCGACGCCGCTCCTCGCGGCGGACGTCGGGGCTGAGTCGGCCCAGCCTCGACACGCCCCAGGAAGGCCTCCTGTGATGCCAGGGGTAGGATTTAGGGGTATGATAGTTTAGGGTTTAGGGTTTAGGGTTTAGGGTTTATTACGGCCTTAATAATAAAAACAGGCTTTTGGGGGTATATACTAGTATAACTACCATGCGGAATTTCAGGGAATGGTAGCTTTTTCAAGCCGCGTTCTTTCCACAGAGGCGAAGAAGACGGGCAGAAGAGAACTGGCATGTTCCACGAGGGAGGATACCATTTAAAAACTTCCCAATAGTTTTCCTTAGGATCCCTTACTAAAAATCATACTGTACCGGAGCCCAAAACCCTATTCTATTTGTTCAGGCCCCTGGATTGATTACGTGGGGTCCTGGAGCAGGATGTCGTCTCTTTGCAGAGCTCTCCAGAAAACTGGGGAACGGGGTCCCGAAAGCGCTTAGAGCAGCGAGGCGACGCCGAGCATCATCTGGGAGTTCCAGAAAATAGGGGGTACCTTGTTTTGTGGTCCTTATAATAAGGATCCTACTATTTAGGGTACTATATTGGGATCCCCTATTTTCGGAAACCCTCATCTCATCCATCCATCCATCCATCCACCCATCCATGCAACCTCTCGTCTATGAGTCCTTCTATAAGATGAGCCCTGCTAAAATGCTAAAACTCTCATATCAACTTGTCTAAAAACCCTTCTCTATCAACCTTCCAGAAGCCGTTCAATAATCTATTCTACAGACCTGCTTGGAAACTTTTCTATACACTTCTCCATAACCTCCGCTGTTTTCCCCCCAAAACTTCTATCAGCTGTTCCGAAAACCCTTGTATAAACCCCTTCTACAAATCCCTGACCACAATGCTTGGGATTCAGAAGCAGGGGCATGATAAAGAGATAAGAGGCTACTTGGAGGACCATGGGACTTGGTAAGTATGGTTATACGTACCTTAATTCGGGTTATAAGTAGTTATAAGTATAGTTATCCTGATAATAACCTTAGTTACTAAGTCCCATGATCCTTTAAGTACACAGCAACCTAACGGCCAGCCTCGCGTCAACAGCACCACGTCCATGGGGAGAAGGTTTGAGCAGACACCGTAGACGTCTGAAGCCTAAATCGGAGAAACCCCAAACCCTAAACCCC